TAAATCCCATTTTTGACGAGCTTTCATTTAGTATAAAATTCATTATATACTCCTTCCTGGAATAATATCAATTCCTATTCTGTATCTTGGGGTATCAGGTCAACTGCTCACGCCCATATATATATACAGAATCATGATGCTTTAATCAAGTCAAACGTTTATGATTTCCTTTTGTCGATATTAATGATGGATCTTTTTTTTATGATTATCTCGTATCAAATTAAAATTAAATTTGCAAAAGGAAGGAAGAAGTATAAAAACATCTAAAAGAAACTCATATAATGAAAGTTCTTATTAAACATTGACTTTCACATAATTCTTTCAAAAAAAAAAGATGTTAATGGAAAACAAACAAGGAATTCTATTAGATAAATTCTATCAAAAAGAAGTCCTACACATCAATTATCTGTGTCTAGTTTAGTTAGAAAAAACATCGTTGATAAAAAAATCTTTAAAAGGAAAAAGAAAAGGATACATTGTAAAATATTTTCACATTTTATTATTAAAGGAAAAACGAGCACGGAAAAGAACAAGAAAAAAGAAGTGTCTTGTAACAGTTACTTTGCATGGCGACAACTCTTCCATGTAAGACTCATAATATTATCTTTTTGTTTATAACAGTTGTGACATTTAGTTGAGATGGAAACGCATAAGTTAGTTGATGGTGACAAAGAAAATATCGCTCTTTCTTTATTTCGACAAGTCGGATCAGTTCATGATAATATTGCATTTGTCGAATCGATACCATCAGATTTATCCAATAATCAAAATATTTCATTTGCAAATAATTATAATTCTCAAATATCAAAAATTAATTCTCAATCAATATCAATATCATTTCATGACTTAAATTATGAAATTGGTCACATAAAAAAACGAAAGATATTTTCTTGTTGCAAGTTAAAACCAAGAAAACAACTTCTTTTTAATATTTCAGGCAGTTTTTCATCCGGCATGAATGCTATTCTTGGTAAATAGATTAAAATTTTCTTTCAATCTATTTTGACATTTTATAGGACCATCGGGAAGTGGTAAATCATCTCTATTAGACATCCTTGCCGATCGAAAAGATAAAAGTGGTTTATCAGGATATGTTCTTGTATCAGGTAAACCTCGATCGAAAACTTTCAAATATTCAATTGGTTATGTTGTTCAAGAAGGTAAAGAATATATTTGATTTTTTTTTGAAAACTATATTCATTATATTTAAAAGATATAATTAATGGAATCTTAAGTGTTCGTGAAAATCTAATGTTTTCAGCTAATACTCGTTTACCACGGTCAAAAACAATAAATGAACGTATTAAATTAGTTAGTCAAATAATTCATGATTTAAGTCTTGAAACATGTGCTGATACTCGAATTGGTACACATTTTATACGAGGAGTATCAGGAGGAGAAAAAAAAAGAGCATGTATTGGAATGGAATTAGTTCTTTCACCAAGTATACTTTTCTTAGATGAACCAACTAGTGGTATGGAAAATTATTCAAATTTAAAATAATATTTATTACATATTTTAATAGGTCTTGATGCATCAACAGCAGAAAATGTTATGAAATGTTTGTATAATTTATCACGACGAGGATGTAAGTTAGAAAAAAAATTCTACTAGATATATTCGATCAGAATACTTTTGAAATCACGTTAAACTTATTCACACACACAAAAAAAAAAAAACAAGTCTTTATTTATTTATTTATTTATTTATTAGGTACAATTATTTTTTCAATTCATCAACCTCGTTATTCAATATTCAAATTATTTGATACTATTCTTCTTCTTTCTTCTGGTCATAGAGTTTATTTAGGTTCATCAACTAATATTTTATCTTATTTTGCTTCTCTTGGTTTTAAATGTGAAGAGCATGATAATCCAGCTGATTTTGTACTTGATGTTATTATTCAATGTAATAATTATTCATCGACTTTACTTGAAAATGCATATTCAAAATCGATAATAAATTCTAATGATGATATATTTAAAATGAATGAGAATGAAAATGATAACAGTATATTTGATGAAATTATATATCGATCACGTGTTTATGAATTATATTATGTTTCAATTCGAACATTTCGTAATACAATACGAGATCCAGCAATGGTTACATCACAAATAATTGTTGCTACATTATTAGCTCTTTTGACAGGTTTAATTTTCAATCAAATAGAAACAACAATTGAACCTGGTGTACAAAATCGTCTAGGGGCTATTTTTTTTATTATTGTTAATCAAATTTATAGTACAACTACTGCTTTAGAACCATTAATTCAAGAACGTGCACTTTTTATTCATGTAAAAAGTTTTTTAAAAATAAAAAAAGAAGTTTTTTTTTTTTGAATTTATTTTCTTGAAGGAAAATGCAAGTGGTTATTATCGTGTATCAACTTTTTTTATTGCAAAATTAATTTGTGATTTACTTCCAATGCGTTTTATTCCTTCGGTCATTTTTTCAGTAATTACATATTTTATGATAGGTTTTCAATTATCAATAAATCAATTTTTTATTTATCTATTAACGATTTTTATGAGTACAATATTTGGATCAGCTATTTGTTTTTTTGTTGCTTCTTTTATTCCAATATTTGGTATTTTGTTTTTCTTTTTTGATTCAGTAAAAATGTTTATTGTTTATCTTTTTTTATTTTAGTTGTTTCACTTATAGTCATTGTATTTATTTTTGTTGTTATGATGGTTTTTAGTGGTTTTCTTATTGATCTTAAAAGTGTTTTTTCATTTCTTCAATGGCTTCAATGGTTGAGTGCATTCCGATATGCAACAAATTTATTAACAATTAATGAATTTCGTCATTTAAAATTCTGTTTAGCAAATAATACACAAATTTGTCCATTAACAGGTGAACAAATCTTAATACAACATGGTATTCCTTATAATAATAATTGGGATATGTGGAGAAATTTATTAGCTTTATTAATAATGATTATTATTTTTTTAATTATGGCTTTTATTCAATTATTAAGAATGAAAAAAGTCAAATAATGCTATTAAGAATTTATCTGTTCTAAGAAATTCTCAATACTAAAAAGAATCTGTTAAAAAAGTTCATCGATCGATGTTATCGTAATTGAAAATTATTTCTATAGATATTATCACATTTTTTAATTTCAAATAATTTTATTTCACAGAAAAGAATCTTTGAAATGTGAAAATATATGTTCTTTAGTCGGCAATAAATGTTTTTTGTATTTATATTCTTATCTCTACTCGTTGAAGTTTTTTTTCAGTCGAAGCTGTGTTTTTTTCTTGAAATACGGATATCGAAAAAGTGTATGAATTAGAGTTTGAAGACACTCTACTGAATATTATCTTCCTTCTTAATAAAAAAAAAGTCATACTTTCGTACCTATTCTTATGAAAACTAATAAGAGAACCATCTGAACTGATATCTATCGTTTGAGCTCATATTAAACTTACAAGGATGTCTAAAAGGAGTTATCTCTACGAGTCTTTGGAGTTGAGCTAGAATTATTTTACTGACTTTTCGAACCAATGTTACATACAATCGTAAACTCGAAAAAGAAAATTTCGGCTCACAGAATATTCGAAAAAAAATGTTCTTTTTTCGAGATATCGAATTTCTAAAACATAATCATTTATCACAGGCATGATACAAAAATTTAGAATAATAAAAGAAAATAAAAATCGATGAGATGATTGTATTGGTATTCTAGTCGATGTCATTAACTATGTTCTCATTTACTAGTAATGTGAATTTTGGCCAGGTTATTCATTTTATGAAGTATGTCAAATTCGTCGTCCATAGCTAACTGCTCATTCAGATCTTTTTGTGCGACAGAAGCGACAAATTAAAAAAATGATGGCTTACAAACAATTATGGATGCAATTTAATTACTACAAATAGGAATTCAATTTTCACTGTCGACGACAAATTGCTGAACAAATCCTAACAGAAGTTTGTATAGTATCATAAAAAAATATTCATTGTATTTTTACATCAAAATTATCTAATTATAAATTTTAAATAATAATTCCGGCAGTTCTCAACAAGTATTTTGAGCTGTTCATCATGAGTGTACTAGATACAACTTGCTATAAGCCTGACTATTGCAATTAAAGAATTTTCATTTATTTATTATACATGTATCAATTCATGATTATGTAGATTATCATGACACATGAATTTTACTTTTGAGATGAATTGCACTTCTATGTAGTCTACAACGAGACTATCATTTTTTCACTTCTTCATCTTCATAATCATTAATATCTTGTTCTTGTTGCTGATTATTGACAGTATCAATATGATCCGACGATGGTACATCTTGATATCGAATACTATTTAACGGATTTCGATTGATAATTTTCAGATCACGAACAAAAAAGTAGAGTAATACAGCAGTTATTATACTAACTGTAAGACCTATTGAGATTATACCTAAAAGAAAACCGCATTAAAAAACATATTTGTGAAAGCAAAATAAAAAAGACCATGTACTCACTAAGAATGTAAGAAATAAATGCATATCGAGCAGCAGTTCGTTCATAGGTAATATTTTCATAATTCTTTAACATATATTCAGATCGTCGTTTAGCCATATAGATCAAAATACATGCAATCAATCCTATAGAAATTTTTACGAGTACAAATAATAAGAGAAAACATCTTCTTACCAATCAGTGGATTGAGAACTAAAGCTACTGTTGCTAATAAGAAATGATATTTTTTCTCATTTTCAATTGGTGTATGTAATTCAATTAAACGATGTCGAGTCTCATCATTAGCAAATTCATGTTCAATTAATAATTCTTTTGATAAAGTTTTTCCTAATGAATAACGAGTTACCCAAAATAATTTCTTTGTATTAGAAACAGATGAATCTTCAGTAGACGAAGAATCTTCGATGTTAGCCACGTTCGAATTCAATGTTGATTAAATTAGTTTTAAACGAAATTAATAAGATAGACTATTGCTAATGTACAAGAATTTCGTATTCATAAATATGCGCCTGACAACCTTTACTTAGAATGAATCATCAAAAGAAAAAAAAACTAGGTTTTTTTGCAGTGATAATATCAAACGCCATGAAACTACAACAAATTCTTTTACTTTAATATTTCAGTTGGGACCAATATAATCAAGTTACTGTATGTTGTTTTTAATATTTGTTTAAGCATCATATGTCGATTTATAAATATTGTATGAATACAATTTTGATAATATTACACTAACGGATAACTGTTTCGCAGCAATCATATCGAGATAGTCACAATTCGAAAGTTTGATCAATCAAACATCAAAAAGTCCTTTCATTATAAGATATATTCATAGGTAATTTACATGAAAATCGATTGATTCTTTTTTATTAATTTGAATAAGTTTTCAAAAATACTCTTCTTCTTTGAAGATTTATTACAATTTGATAAGGCATTCCTAAATGGATAGGAACGACTTTAAAATAGTTCGCATTTGCTTATTTTAGCTTTATCTCTTATATAAGTTTATTTGGTTGTTTTTCTTTTTTTTTCTATAATAGAGAAAAGAAAAATAAAGATTGACAAATACATATTGTGTGAGCACGCACAACAAAAGAAAAGAAAAAAAACGAGAAAAAGTCGTCGGTGTGAACATATGTTAAAGACAACACAAGGACAGACAAACATACAAACACATGTTACAAAATAAAGAAAAAAAAATCTATGTCGATATCATCGATATAATTTTGCAAATGTTTCAAATTCATAATCAATTGTTGATGGTTGAGTATCGCTTCTAAAATAAAGAGCAGAAAAAACAAATAAGAAATATATTTAAATATTTTCTTTTAAAAGACTTACTCGCAGAGAACATTATAAAACTGTTCATGTTGTTTTAAAGTAACAATTTCTACTAAACCATTTCTACTTGTACGTGGTATTTCAGTTAATGATTTTTGTAACCATTGTGAAAATTTATCGGACATATAAGTTTTAAGTTCACCAACAAATTCTGATATTGATAAACGAATTGATGATGGAACACGCGAAATAACAATAGCACGAATTAATGCTGTTAAAAGATTAGGAATATATGTTTCACATAATGACATTGATAATGAACGAACTTCAGATAATTCAGGTTTATGCTAAAAGAAAAGAATCAATTTGATTTTTTTTCTTTTCTTTTACTTAAAATTTACTTTGATTTCTTTATTTTTATTTGATGTAAGTTTAACTAATGTTTGTAAAAATGCTATCATACTTGAACTTGCATCACGATGTTCTAAGTGACAATTGGGAATTATTTGTTCAATTATTGGTCGAATTACACTGGATTTTAAATATTCAAGTGGACATCGTTGAAGTAATCTTTAATTGAAATAGAAAAATATATATAAATAATTTAATCAATCTAATTTATCTTTAACTTCAATTGGATAAAAATAAAAATAAATAGTTCGTGAGAAATTTTTTAGCACTGTCAAATCGAAATTTTAATCCAATCGTTAGATCTGAATAAGTAATTTATCTATCACATCTTGATTTTTCTTTCCCATTTTGTTAGTGGAACTATAAGTATTTTATCTAAGTTTATTTTCTTGCAGGGATAGGATAGATATTCAAGGAAGTGTCATCACATTGAATGCATTATTGTCTATTCACTATGTCGAATTGCTTGATAAACTGAATTTTACCGTTATTTTTCGATATATTAATTCAACAAATTTAAATTCGATTGAAATTTTCATATTAATTGATAATCCTTTTAAAAAATGTCAGTTGTTTGATCATGATATGTGTTCTTGTTATAGAATGGGAACATTGATTGGACTATTAGTTCCACTCCATGCTTATTTTCTAACCACCTATATGTATATATATTTCATTGATAAGAACATGATAGATAATATAAAGTTCGCCATATTAATTTTCACAGTGGCTATTCAGCAGTTGATCATGGTCATGTCATAAGCAGAATTTTCGACATTAGAAAAACTGAATTTTTGGCAATGTGCAAAAGTTCAATTTTCTTGAGAGCAGAAAGTTCACTGTGAAACTTAGGTCTGAGAATTTTCTGTTTCGCAACAGCATATACCAATGTGTTTCACTATAAAAACATATTTCAAATAATATATTTAAAAATTTCATTAGAATATAGAATACTAAAGCGAATGAAAAAAAATGATCATTTGTCAATTAATGAACACAATATGATCTAATGATAATATGAACTTCAATCAAGATATTCGAAATTATGGCAAAATTGAGTATTATCAAATATAGCTATAGTAATAGATATATATTTTGACTGACGAGAAAATATTGAATAAGGATTCTTAGAATTTTCCTACCGGGTTATAGCCGTTTCACTGAAATTTTGTCCATAGATAATCCTACTTGTAACTAGAATGTTCCCTTTACAAGATATTAGATTCTCAAAAAAAAAATGAGATTCTCGAATCATTCATGGAATGTAAGTCATTCTTGAGAATTCAATATTCCATGAAGAGAGCATTCTAGATGCAGCTAAGTCTATATATGGACAAAATTTCAGTAAAACAGCTATATCTCTGTAGGAAAGACTTAGAGAACACTCATCCTTTTGGAATTTTTTAATAAATCATTCAGTTATGTCTTATCCGCAGAGTTCGAACTGAAAAGTAATTTTCAAGTCAGAACGATTCTCTCGTAAGATGTTCCGATAAATGAAATTATTGAACGAAAATTATCTAATTATGTCAAAGGATTGAGAAAATTTTCGATTTCTAAGTAGGTCTATGAATTTTTTAAAACAAATTTTTACCTTGATGATAAACGATAAAAATCATCAACAAGATCTGGATTTTGTTGAAAACCATCTGGTTTATTTAGAATTGAAAAAGTTTTAGTTGTTAAATGTTCACTCATAACAATAATTGATGGTTTTAAATCTTGATTATTTCCATATTCATCAACAATAATTGATATTAAATAAAGAAAACATGAATGTGGAACATCATCATAACTTGAAATAACCTATTTAAATAAATTAAATAATTTTTTTTTGTTTTTATAAAACAAAAAACGTGTTTCAAACGAACAAGTTCGACAATTGGTTGAAAAAATATTTTCGCATGAGAATGCATTGATCGTATTATAAAACGAATTGTACGTGACCAACATTCACTGAGTTTTACTGATGAACGATATCGAACGATGATTAAATTGAGTAAAGGCAATAACTTAAATTATATTATACTATTTTTTTTTTATGCGTCACATTATTTATTTTTACCTGTTGGACAATAATTATGCATGGATGTATTTCTTCCTGTGTTGTTTTGAAATCAAGACTTCTGTATAATTGAGAAAAAAAAAATCATTTAAAAATTGAACATTATAGAATGTTTTATTTTTTTTTGTCTTAAATATCACCTGAATATTGCTGTTAAACAATCAAGTCGTTTTATTATTGAACTATAATTTGTATCGGATTGAGTAGAAAGAATCTAAAATAAATAAATAAATAATGACAATTAATTGAATAAAATAAAAATTCAAAAGACCTGGGTTAATGATTGAATTTGTTGATCAAAAAGTAATTTTAAATAACGATGAATATCGTCCATTGATGTCAAACGAGAAATTAATTTCGATGAAGCTAAAAACAAATAATCAAAATAAAAAAGAAAGAATATTCGTTTTTATCAATATCTGAAAGTTTTAAAAAAACTTTTCAAATAGAAATCATAAGGAAAAATCTATCATTAATTAGGTTTCTATTCATTCTATTATAGAAATGAATAATAACCTTTAAGAAGACATTGAGCTGCATCACTTCCATTATTAACAAGATCTAACCAAAGAGTAGCTTGTATAATTTGATCAAGATCAGTAAGAAGTTGTTTTCGACATTGTTGACAAATAATTAACATTGCATCGGCTGACATATGTTGTAATTCTTTATCAGCAAGTAATGAAAGAAGATATTGAATAATAGATTCTAAATTAAACAAAGAAATTTATTTTATTAAGCAAAAAAGTAAAACATCGTTTTAAAATAAAATTTTACTTAAAATTTGTTGATCGTTTTTTGCAATCCAACTTTCAAGTTGTGAAATTAATCGAATACCAGTATATTTAAGTGCTGAATGAACAATACCTGATTGTATTGGTGTTGAAATAATAGCTTGTATTACATTAGGAACTATTTTATCTTCATCAGGTGATAAATATGAAGCAACACAACTCATTATATACAATGGAGCTTCACTTTCTTCCCATGATAAAGATAATGATGATTGTAATTTATCAAACATCTGATTTTTTTTTTAAATAAATAAATAAAAATTCTTTTTGAATGAAAAAAAACAAATACTTACACGTTGAAAACAATTTAAAGCACCTGTTATATAAATCGTATCTTCAATAAGACATTGAACACGATAACGAAATTCAGCTAAATCACTATTTGATGTTCCATTATTTTTTGAATTTTTTTCATCTATTTCTGGTGGAATACCCAACTATAAGAAAACAAACAAACAAAAAAAATCAAGAGATTTTTATTATGTTTTTAATTATCTCTTACATGATCAGGATCAAGTTTACATTGTGTACATAATATATCAACTAATTTTTCCATATATGGTTTTACTTTATCAATAATAGGTTCATTATTTGTTTGAATTGATTCTGAAAGACGATACCATGTATAAAATGTTGATTGAACAACCTATGTTTGAAATGAAAAAAATATTTATAGAATAAAAAAAAATTAATTAAAATTTCTATTTCATTACTTCATAATCACTATGTTCTAATGGATAAAGTAATAAATGAAGACATGATAAATCACTTAATTCTGATTGACGTCCATCAATAAGACAATCAAGAATTGATTCAATTAAATTTGTATAAATTCTTGTATAATTTTGTGCTCTTTAATCAATAATAGAATAAATAAATAAATATATATATATATATAGAAATAATATAATTTATTCAACTTACTTATCAAGATTTTCATCTTTTACTGCTTGAAAATAAGGTTGACATAAATATTGAGTGATTTGTTGTTTTAAATAAACTGCTAATGACCAATATTTTTGATAATCCTATTCAAACAGATTTTTATTTATTTAAACTTTAAATTTTTTTTTATTAAATAACTTAGTATATACAACAAAATAATCTTATTTCATATTCTAATTATAGATATA